TAAATATGAATCTGATACATTTAATCTATTCTGACAAGGTGTCAACGTCTTCTTTTTCATATCTGGCCCATCGTCTGGCGTAATTTTCAACAGCATTCATAATATTTATGAAATTCCGACGCCAGTTGAAGGATCGCGGTTCCCTATATTTAGGACCTTTTAAAATAAGTTATCTAAGGTCCTCATTGCAGCCCGGGGGACCGGGCTGCTCTATACATATAAGTTTAAGTGTTGGTATATGGAGATTGAGGTGGGAGAAGTTATTAAGAATTTAAGGTTTTCTAAACATTAAAAAGATTGTTAATCAAAATGTTCTTTTCGTTTATAAATAACGAGATACACAATATATTTACTTCCATAAAGTGAATCTGTAAAAATATATATGTTTTTCATATCTAATATATAAAGTTGCTTATCATTTACTATCGAAAAAACCAGAGGTCCCCCTTTTTAGAAGATCGAATTTTACTTATCGCATAAAAACGTACTTTACACAGTTCGTGTTTTAAAGTTATATATACATGTACATTTTTGAAAATAGGTGATGCATGTGTCTGGCTTCAATTTATATTTAATGCAGCCAACATTTACGTGAGGAATTGATAAAGTTTAAAAGGGTATCGTTTTTGTTCGATTTTGATCCGACTGCAAGTTTTCAAAATATTATCGACTATCGTCTCCATCATTTACACGCATGTCTTCTTCACATACATGTATATCGAAGCGGTTTGATGATCAAGATTCATTTCCATTGTTTACTTTATTTATTTCCCGGGCGACAATTTATAGTTACATCAATGTTTTCTTGTTATTAACTATATTAACGTCAATGTGAACCTATAGGAGAGAACTGAAAAATAAAATTACAAATTCAAACAACAAACATTATTATGTACATTACAGGTTTTCAATTATTTCAATCTTTACTTTTATGACGAAATATAAATTTAAACTAAGTAATTAATGATGAATAGTAATCGGAGTCAATTTCTGAATTATCAGCTTTAAAAATTATTTGCTTTTTTAAGATAATAAATATTAAATAAAATATTCAATTAATTCACTTTTTGCAATAAATACTGTATGTAAATAGGGATGTACCCAATTTGCAGAATTGAAAAAAAAATGTATTCATACTTGTTGAAAAGGAGTATCTTTCCTACCAAAATAGCTTTCAAAATGTGGTTCCCTATATTTAGGACCTTTTAAAATAAGTTATCTAAGGTCCTCATTGCATTCCATTGATCCCTATATCAATATAAGTTTAAGTGTTGGTATATGGAGATTGAGGTGGGAGAAGTTATTAAGAATTTAAGGTTTTCTAAACATTAAAAAGATTGTTAATCAAAATGTTCTTTTCGTTTATAAATAACGAGATACACAATATATTTACTCCCATAAAGTGAATCTATAAAAATATATATGTTTTTCATATCTAATATATAAAGTTGCTTATCATTTACTATCGAAAAAACATTAGGTCCCCCTTTACATTAGTTTTCAATTATTTCAATTTTACTTTTATCGCATAAAAATAACTTTACACAGTTCGTGTTTTAAAGTTATATACATGTACATTTTTGAAAATAGCTTTAAAAATTATGTGCTGGCTTCAATTTATATTTAATGCAGCCAACATTTACTTTTTGGAATAAATAAAGTTTAAAAGGGTATCGTTTTTGTTCGATTTTGCCGACTGCAAGTTTTCAAAATATTAAGGACTATCGTCTCCATCAAAATTTACAAAATGTCTTCTTCACATACAAAATTATGTATATCGAAGCGGTTTGATGATCAAGAATTCATTTACATTGTTTACTTTATTTATTTCCCGGGCGACAATTTATAGTTACATCAAAAATGTTTTCATCAAAATTTTAACTATATTAAGGAATGTGAACTTAATGTGAGAGATTTGAAAAATAAAATTACAAATTCAAACAACAAACTATATATTATGTGCATTACAGGTTTTCAATTATTTTTCTTTAATTTTATGAAAAATAAATTTTAATAGTAATTAATGATGCAAAAGACCTTAATCGGTATAATGTCAATTTCTGAATTATCAGCTTTAAAAATTATTTGCTTTTTTAAGATAACAAATATTAATATAAAATATTCAATTAATTCACTTTTTGCAATAAATACTGTATGTAAATAGGGATGTACCCAATTTGCAGACTTGAAAAAAAAATGTGTTCATACTTGTTGAAAAGGAGTATCTTTCCTACCAAAATAGCTTTCAAAATGTAATTTATCAATAAGACCAGCAAAATTATTTTGTGTATTATTTAACACCAGGGAGAAATTTTGTTGACTTACCTATATATGGAATGCAGACGATTTGAGCTTTCGTTGCATTAAAAACATCTTTTTAAATTACAAATTTGTTCGTAATAAATGCCATCATTAAAATGAATATACAAAAACAAAAAAATCTTCTTGTTTTACTGCTAAAATCACCTTGTTTAATGTGTGGTGGTCCGTGGAATAGCCCCGCAGCTATATAAAATGACATTTATTTCAGCAACTTATTTTTGTTTAATGCAAAAGAAAAATGATTTAAACAAGTATTTCATTCTACAGCCAAACATGCATTTGAATTGTTCAGATTTGATACGTGTGTCTGACAATTTTTTGATGACGCCGTGATTTATTGTAAAAATCAGCGGTTCTTGCAAAAGTCCACAAATCAATGTAATATTTAGAAATAAACTATAAAACAACGATTAAATATTTATACAAAGTTAACTAAAATGAAATAACGTTGAAATAGCAGTTATATGAAGGATATGGAGATAACGAACAGTATTCAATCTCAACGTCCATTAAACAATATACAGAATAAGAGCAGAGCAAACACGGACCTCTGAAACATCAGAGGTGGGATCAGGTGCCATGGAGGAGTGAGCATATATCAAATGAATCTAAAATAACGAAAAAGAGAAGGTAATGTAAATCTAAGAAAACAAAATGAGAAATGTACTTGTACCTACATTTGCTTATCGATAAGTAAATGCAGATTTAATTGTTTAAAGTCATTCCTAGGTTCTAATAGGTGTGAGTTGTTGACGGGGAGGGGGGGGGGGGCAAAATGATTGGAATCTAGAGGTAAAGATTTAATCAGTGTAAATTGTTACTAATCAAAACAAAATACTTGTTTTCCGCAAAATAGTTTTATATTCAGATGTTTGTCTGTGCTTCCTTACCTTTGCCTTAGTGTAGATAGGTTAATTTGTATTACACAATACTACAAAAATAAAAGAAAACTTCATATTTCTCGTTTATTTTATCATAAAAGTATACTTTCTTTAAAATTAAAATTTGGAGATAATTCGTCTCTTCAAAAATATATGAATTACAACATTTTGACACAAAGATCTTTTAAGATACTACCTTATGCATGTCAGAATTCTTAAAAATAAGACAAGAAAAATAGGGTTATACTTACCTTGTGCTCCTTAATAATTTTTCATGCGAGATGAATTACAATGAATTTGCCATCATTTTAAAGACACAAGTCAAATAATTTAAATACATGTTGATTGTGAATGTGATTGGACATTTTGGGTTATTTTAAACACATTTTGGGGTAGAAGTATAATATCTGCAAATGATCTATTTTTAGCATTTCACACTGTTTTTGCACTTGCTCCAGTGTAAAAAGAAGCATATAAAAGTATTGTTTTTAATGAATAAGAATTAAGAGCATGTGGCAAGAAAACAAATGTCAATTCTTGAAAATTTCACACAAAGACTTTTTGGACATATGTCCCCCTTAATACGAATACATTTTTGCAAAGACGGGTTTCACCACATTTTTGTGAATCCGTACGACGAGAACACCATTTGTATATTGACTTTTTACATAGTAAGCGCATGTTGTTGTTGTTGATGATGATGTTTTTTTCCTTTTTAACAAGTGTATAATTGCATTAATCTTATATACATGTCATCGTTATCATGCATATCTTTGGTAGAATCAAGTGCAGTTTAAATTTTCTGTTTTTGCAAAGCAGCAAGGATAAAAATCATATAACAACATGACTGTATTTTAATGTATATACACTATTATACAGCAAATCTAAGTTTATTTTTTACATAAAAATATGGTTCTAAATTGACAAGATTTCACCACATTTAAATAAATTTTACAAACGTGAACTGAGGAAAAGATATAAATAAAAGCAATAAAATTGACAAAAACATCAAAACCCTAAGTGAGCAAAGCAAACGCGGGTCTTGAATCAAAATGTACTTGGGATAAGATGCCAAGGAGGACCAATCATTCCCTGTCGACCACTTACAATCGGCATATTATGATCGGATGATAGAAAATACATAGACAATACAGTTTTAATAATGACCTAGCATTGGTTTGAAAATTTTCAATGGGCATTCGATTTAACAACAGATTGTTTATGGAAACAATATTATGGTATAGAGTTTGCCACATGTTGACTTTAAACAGGACTATTGCTATCATAGTATCATCAGCTTAATTTTAAAAGATTATGTTTTATAATAATTCATATGTAGAGTTTGCCCTTGCGTATCGAATTGACAGGAAGATATAAACAGTATTTGAAAATTGTATATTGCTTCATAAAAGGGATGTTGACGATTATGTGCCTACTCCTACTCACAATTCTTAGAACTTTAAAAAAGAAATTAAAAGTATAATTACTATATAAGTCCACTGCTCCTCCATTTAAAAAATGTTGACCTGTTGCTAGAAAGGAAATACTGTAAATGTATTATATTTAGCGTGTACGATATTAAGCGGAAAGTGATTTTTAAACAAGTTAGCGTAGATTTGATTTAGCGCATTTCTTGACATTCTTATCCATGTATCAGTGTTTAAGACGTTTAGCGACGTACTTGAATTAGCGGTAGTATCTTTCCGCCAAAAGCGCTAAAAAGAATACACCGCAAAATGTAATACGTTTACAGTATATTTATTTCAATTTACAATTAGGAAATTAAATAAAAATCGTACAAATTTGAAAAAAGCCTGTTCTAATCTTCTCCTTCATCACTGGATGCCTGCCTCTGCTTTAGCTGATGTATAAGACCGAAGGATTTCACTGTCCTCTTCAGATAGTCCACGTTGTATAAGTGGAACACTCCTTACGGTTTTCCTATTTAATTCTTTATCGGTTTTCCTTATTCTAAACGGCGACGTGCTTTCTATTCCGTCAGAAGTGGGACTTTCTGGTTTTTGTTGTCCACACATGAGGGATGAAGATTCTCTACGAAGTAACGGCTTACTAGCTCTCTTGGAGAATTTCCGGTGATCGAAATCGGAATTCCACTTTGAACCCGACAATTGTCGGCGTCTCAGCGAAGAGATGTCATTAAGAAAATATCCCTCTACTAATGATGTGTTTGACATTCTACTTCCAAAGCGTCTAGGACGTTGTCCACAACACACAAAATGTCTTAAACATGGAACACGTCTGAACACAAATGAAATGTGGGTGTTAAAATCTAATTATTAGATTACTATATCTTAAATTTCAAACACAAATTTAAATTTGTTTTATTTAAACAAATAATAATAAGTATTTAGTACATCTTAAATAGTCTATTATATTAATTATACATATATTTTGTTGGAAAATTACCTTAAATTTTGACATATTCTAGTGCTAAAAACTCCATAAATTATCGGATTCACTGCTGAGTTGAGTGGAGCAAGACTGTGAACGAATGCTGTTAAAGCCTTTAACGTATCTGTGTCTGGACTACCCATTTCATATACATGAAAGAGCATAAATCCGAAATAGGGACTCCAGCATAAAATAAAGGCTAAAAATAGAAAGCAGAGAATAGATCCGGGCTTTTTAAATCAGATAAAACTAATCAATGGTCTTTAAGTTTAGTCCATGGTAATTTAATTTTATCAGTGTGATTTATCAGAATGATGTATATATGAATATAAATATTTAATATTCTATGTACATACGTAAAAATACCAAGAAACAAAATTTGTTTTACCTAAGACAATGAAGAACGTCATTTTGACTGTTCTGATCTTGGCTCTTTCTATTATATGATTTCTCCCACAAGAAGGGTTACTGCGACAAGACCCCGTTGTGACTATAAAAAACGGTAAAAAGTTAGATTCTTTAAATTATTACAAAAACATAACATTAAGAAAACAAAGAGATTCTACTATAGTATGTAATGTTTAGTTAAATCAATTATTTAATTTTACTTCATAAAAAAATCTTCGTTGACTGTTTCACAATCAAATCGGATTAATATTTAAATTTTGTTTAGTTAAAGACTTTTAAAAGAGATGATCGGTACATCATCTTTAGTTAATCCTAATTTGAAGGAAACTCGCATCCAGTCCTATTCCCATATTTTTTTTATTTGATAAAAAACGAATCAGTTTCAAAATAGTGAGGTACTTACCGTTACTAAGTAAACTCTCCTGGCGCTGGAACGTCCAGCTACAGCGATCTCCTTGAACCTCGGTGTCGCTCCGGCAGATGACGATAATAATGACGCAATAGCAGAAGGTGATGATTATGGCGGGAATAATAAATGCAGCAAAGGCAATGAGAGTAACATAAACCTTGTTAAAAAGAAACAGATAGTTGCTTAAACATTACATAAAATGCAGAAAGAGGAAGATATATTTATAAAACAATTAAATACATGTGGTAAAAAATAAACGTGATTTGTATTTTTTTTTTTTGAGAATGAAGTAATGAGTGAATAATTATATACCTTTGACTGATATTCATGATGAAATGTAGGTTCACACAAAGTGACGTTTTTCCCTTTGTATGTAACATTCCGTTCTGTGACATCAAACAAAACCAATGTCGGTAGTGAGAACAAAAATGCAAGCACCCATGCCACAGAAATGAGAACTCGGGCTCGAAACTCTACAAATACCTAATATATGCATATAAAAATATCTCTCGTTTCAAAAAATCATTGTATGACAAAAGAGATTTTTTCGGATATTTTATAAATAATCATACTTTATGTGGACAAATATGTAAGTACACTAGAGTAGACCCCAAACAAGTACTAAGTATATCTATGGGGTTTTTTCAGAATCTAATTCTTTAATTCGATCCACACTCCGTCAATTCAGTCTGGATCTGTGAAACTTAAATCACCGGGAACACAATATAAAAAGGTAACTACATCTTTTGCTTCATTACCTACCCCTTCTGGAGAACCTCATTGGCCTCGCTACGGCATCAAGTCTGTCAATGCTTAGAGAAACCAGGACGTATGTAGAAGCGTACAATATCACAATCTGAAAATTTGTTATTAAGACGGATTGAAGTGAATACAGAGATTTACAAACATCAGTTAAGTAATCCACAATCGCAGCTCATTTTCCAATATTATTTCAATAATTTCCCTCCAAAAACTAAAACAAAATATGAGAAGTTGTGTTTGTAAGGTAAAATTTAGACTCGCAAAAAAAAAAAAAATAGAAAATCATTGAAATAAAAATACTTAGACTGCCTCTATTATTTTCTGTCTTGATAATCTTTTACTGGTAAAAATGAAAAGTTGAAGACGAAAACGATGAACTTATGGTACCTTGATGTATTGTAGAAATTTACACAGAAATGATCCACCCTCAAAGTCTATCATCGCCTTTTCTTTAATGTCTTGACTGACCAAAATCATTCCAACAAGAAGATCTGCAATAGGCTGATTTCTTTAAAACAAAACCGATTATATGTACACGGGTTGTTCAATAAATAATGTCATCAGCTCGATGATATGTAACATAGAAATCATATGACATTAAGCTTGACTTTCTCTCATTATTGAATCTCTGATGAATTGATTACAGTTTATGTGACCACTTTTCATCACATAGTTTCACTGTGGCAAGCTGGAAAACAAGGGCTACTCGAGACACTGCATTAAAAATGAATGTTAAAGAATCAGTAAACTAGAGTGAAATAAAACGCTTCATGAAAGCTGCTGTAAAACTTGTTTAGAATCCCAAAGAAATATTTACTGAACTATGTGGCATTTACAACAACCAATGTCTGTTTTATACACACACATAAGCAAGGAGATTTCATTGAACAAAAATGATAAAATGGGCGTCAAAAATGGGTACCGTCCTTGGCGACAAGGACTTACAACAACCAATGTACTGTTCGGGAAAATTCAACAAATTATCATTGATTATGTTTGATTGACTTTAATACACATAGCAAATTTGATAGGCGTCATTTTGGGGGTAGTTCACAATGTTTTAAAGAAACGTTTGACAGTAAAAAAGCTTAATACTCAAAGGTCACCCTATGTTCTAAAAAAATAAGTGAAAGTGACAACATGTAAGAAGATATAAATAATTATTTTTAAAAGATCAAAAATTGTACTTATCCACGTTTGTCTGAAATTCAAGCAGCTTATGAAACTTGAATCCATTGCTTTTATCCCTCAAAATAAATTAACATTAAAAAGATGCACTTGACAGAACAGCAAAGGCCTGAGAAGAGCAAAGAATTACAGGAGCACAAAACAGGTTTATATGCTATTTTCTTAAATATAAGTGGTCTTGTTGTTCAAATTCTTATTCTCGGAGGCAATTCAATTTCTGGAGGAGTCTAGAAAGCAAATTTTTTGCAAAAAAATCGAAAGGTTTAAGAGAGGAAAAAACCAGAATCAGGAATCCACTACATTAAATTTCTTCATGACAGCGTCCACACCCACAAGCCATGAAGAGTAAAGGAGTTTTGGGGTTAAACAGAAACTTAATGTTTTGTCACACCAACAATATTAACCATATTTTTCAACCATTGACTTGCTTTATTTCCTAAACTTGAAAAAACACCTTTCAGAAAGAGAAAACAAGTACAGGAAATCATAGGATCTGCCATATTCCAGTATAAGAAGGGTCATACTAAAAATGTGTTCTAAAATCAATTAGAAATTGAATAAAATTGTTACATACATATATCTTAATTAAAAGAGAATATTTAAGTGAAATCATCAAGATTAAATCATTGAAAGGCGTTTATTTATTTTTTTTTTTGTTTCTTTCCGAGCACCGATGACATTATTTATTGTACGGCCCTCGTACTAATATTTCCTTCTCAATGGATTTTTAATAGATACTCAATGCCAGTTTTGGTATGTAGTAAACTTGAAGAAGATGCCATTTTAAGATACAAATCCTTCGAAGAAAATGATTTGATATACCAGAACACAAAGAGCACATATTGAAAAGGTCTGCATTTATAAACATAACGGAAAGATAGCTTGAAAGAATATCACTGAATGGGTGAAATTTGATTTAAGGACAGGATTTTCTCTCAAACTTTATTATAAAAGTCATATAGTGATACATAAGAACTTAAGGTTTATAGATTATTAATTATAAATAATACGTTAAAAAAAATGGTGTATATTACTCATGACTAAACAAGTTTGATTTTTTTCTCATGCAAATTACAAACCTACATACAGTATATGCAGGTATACAGCTGTACATGATCCAAGGTACAAGCATTAAAAAACAATAAGATTTTAATTGCATCCCTCATTAAAAATTGAACTACATGTATTAGAGTAATTGTACTGTAGGACTAAGGTTTACAAAATAAAAAGGATAAATTTACATATCTTTGAGTTCTCCCGCTTCTATCAACGAATATTTAAGTCCTCATGAATATTTTTGTCAAAAACAAATTGCAAAATTATTTACCAGAAATCGCTAAATGCATTATGAAGAAATTCATCCGCGTTTTCCGGCCATTTTCAGAATAAAGCAGCGCCAACAGCACACATCCATTCCCGACGACGATAAACAGGAAAAGTGACGTCACCAATATCAACTGAGGCACCTACAAATATAAAGTGAACAGAAATGAAAAAAAAAATTATGCAATTGCAATTCATTTTTATTATAATATGTATTTGTCAGCATCCGTGTCTATCTTAACCAATTTTCATCTACGGTATTATAGGTTACTACATATATAGAAGTAGTTCCGTTATACTACACTTAACAAAACTTCTACGCGTTCACTCTTATTCAAAATCTACATGACAGAATGGTATGATATTTTCAGATTATTTTAACCATTGAGTCTTTTCAACAATTGTTGAAAAAAAATCAATGATCACCGATGAAAACCAACGTCCCGTAATGAAGCTTGAAAACAATAAATCTGTACTTTGCGGCACGTGGTGTTTTTTTTTCTTTCTTTTTTTTTTTTTTTTTTGTTTAGTTTAGTTTTGTTTGTTTGTTTGTTTGTTTTTTGTTTGTTTTTTTGTTTTTGTTTTGTTTTGTTTTGTTTTGTTTGTTTGTTTGTTTTTGTTTTTGTTTTTTTTTTTTGTTTTGTTTTTTTTTGTAATCAGCATCTTATCAATTCTGAAAAAGTGGTTTAACTAAAAAAACACAAAACATTGGCAAAATGACCTTTGAAAAAGGAGGGAAAGCCGTAGGGAATGTTCATATCTGGATCATCATTGCACCACGATTTTCGCAGTTTTATTTTATTATCTACATGTATTTGCCCTTTATATTACTTTCAAAAATTAAAAACCGGCACAAAAACCTATTTAAAACATTTTTCTAGTGGTTGCGCGTAATTTTCATCACCAACTTATCGCAATTTGGAAGGTTTGAACAAAATTTAACTAAACTGGAAGTGATCTAAATCTTCGTCTGAGGCCAAGGTTTTTCGTCACAACCAGGTTAAAGATTGTTACATTGTCTTGAAATAAATTTAGAAACATTAAAAAAAAAAAAATCAAAGGTAGGAAAAGAAATTGGTGCTCGTGGCAGTCTAATATCAGCTCAAACAGTCTACATCATTCTTTAAGCGGTACACGTACGTGCTAAACGCCAAAGGATATTGACCAAAAGGTATCAGTGCGATGATGCACTGCCAAATCCCCGGATCTGAATTTAATCTCATTGAACACATTTGGGAATTTTATAAGGAATTTCAACCCGCCCCCCTCCACACAAATTCAACGGTTTAGAAAGATCCATTATAAAGATTCTAAAAACTAGAAAGTCTGCTATTGCAAGCAGTAGCGTATGTCGCCCCGAACTGGACAAAACTTTTATTTTTTCATCACTAAAACAATACCCATTACCTAAGCTTGAACAACCATCAACTCGTAGCAGTCCTTTCAGTACTTTGATTTAAAAATCAAGGTTAAAGAATTTTCACTTTTCCCCTGTTTTCATGGCAACTATTGACAATATGCAATTTTTAAATGCGGATCGCACAATTACAGATACTAATCATTAAATCAATAATAAAGTTTAATGACGAATGTTCAAGGGACCAGAGAGAACACTCTCGGACAAGATTCGTCGCTTTTTGCAGGCTTCCATGGCAATGGTATCCATTTTGAAACCGAATGACCACACAACAAAACTACATTCAGTGATCGTCCTTTGAGGAAAGTTATTCCGAATGTTTCAGAAAGATTGTCCCAGCCATCTCCGAGAAACAGCACGGAGAGCAAAAACATGCGTACAATCGCAATATGTTGCCTCCGACTTCGTTCGGGGCGACATAATTAAAAGTTTCCCTAGAAATTATTTGGCTATATCACTTCTTCCTGAGACGGTTTCAATGACAAAGAGAGAAAGATAGTTCAGCGTCTACTAATTAATATGCGTTTAATCATTTTCTTGACGTATGGAAAACTAATTGATTAGACATTTCCTATATCACCAAAGGCACTCTGGAAAAGAATTTTGCCAAATTATGTATAAACCTTAATGGATGGTTGATGTTTGGTTAATTGCAAATCAGATATTGACACAAAAAATGAAGGTGACATTGTCAATCTAGATTAAATGTTTGAAGCAGTTACGTAATGATTTTTTACGGGCAACTTGATTTTGGTATGACAGCTAAACGCACTACATTATCGCTGAATTTCTATCACTAAATCGGGGATAGACACTACATTATCTCTGAATTTTTACCACTAAATCAGGGATAGACACTACCTTATCTCTGAATTTCTATCACTAAATCAGGGATAGACACTACCTCATCTCTATCACTAGATCAGAGATAGACACCACCTCATCTCTGAATTTCTATTACTAAATCAGAGAAAGACACTACCTCATCTCTGAATTTCTATCACTAAATCAGGGATAGAAACTACCTTATCTCTGAATTACTATCACTAAATCAGGGATAGACACTACCTTATCTCTGAATTTCTATCACTAAATCAGGGATAGATACTACCTTATCTCTTAATTTCTATCATTGAATCACGTATAGACACTACCTCATCTCTGAATTTCTATCACTAAATCAGGGATAGATACTACCTTATCTCTTAATTTCTATCACTAGATCAGAGATAGACACCACCTCATCTCTGAATTTCTATCACTAAATCAGGGATAGACACTACCTCATCTCTGAATTTCTATCACTAAATCAGGGATAGATACTACCTTATCTCTTAATTTCTATCACTAGATCAGAGATAGACACCACCTCATCTCTGAATTTCTATCACTAAATCAGGGATAGACACTACCTCATCTCTGAATTTCTATCACTAAATCAGGGATAGATACTACCTTATCTCTTAATTTCTATCATTGAATCAGGTATAGACACTACCTTATCTCTTAATTTCTATCACTAAATCAGGGATAGACACTACCTCATCTCTGAATTTCTATTACTAAATCAGGGATAGACACTACCTCATCTCTGAATTTCTATCACTAGATCAGAGATAGACACCACCTTATCTCTTAATTTCTATCACTAAATCAGGGATAGACACTACCTTATCTCTGAATTTCTTTCACTAAATCAGGGATAGACACTACCTCATCTCTGAATTTCTATCACTAGATCAGAGATAGACACCACCTCATCTCTGAATTTCTATTACTAAATCAGGGAAAGACACTACCTCATCTCTGAATTTCTATCACTAAATCAGGGATAGAAACTACCTTATCTCTGAATTACTATCACTAAATCAGGGATAGACACTACCTTATCTCTTAATTTCTATCATTGAATCAGGTATAGACACTACCTCATCTCTGAATTTCTATCACTAAATCAGGGATAGACACTACCTTATCTCTAAATTTCTATCATTGAATCAGGGAAAGACACTACATTATCTCTGAATTTCTTTCACTGAATCAGGGATAGATACTACCTCATCTCTGAATTTCTTTCACTGAATCAAGGATAGACACTACCTTATCTCTGAATTTCTTTCATTGAATCAGGGAGAGACACTACCTTATCTCTGAATTTCTATCACTAAATCAGGGATAGACACTACCTCATCTCTGAATTTCTATCACTAAATCAGGGATAGACACTACCTCATCTCTGAATTTCTATCACTAAATCAGGGATAGACACTACCTTATCTCTGAATTTCTATCACTAAATCAGGGATAGACACTACCTTATCTCTGAATTTCTATCACTAAATCAGGAATAGACACTACCTCATCTCTTTTCTATCACTAAATCAGGGATTTATTCAACACGGACAACTTGTGAGTAAAGCTTAATTCCAAGCAAGCTAAAGTTTTCAAAGTGTAAATAAAACTTTTTAGACAAGTTTAAAAAAGTTTAGTAAGATAGAAACCTTAGGTATTCATAATTAACGTCTTCAGCTTGAAAAGAGCATGTGACAAACCTCTTTTGATACGTGTGTTTAACTGAAAATTTGAATGGCTTTTGACCTCTTGTAATAAACCCAAAAAGGGTCTTGACAATCCTGCGCTTAAGATATAAAAAGTATAAAAGTGATCCTTAGACAATGTATAAAATAATATAAATACAAATATATTATAATTATGTTGTGTGTTTGCTGAAATGTATCATACCAATGGTTTTAACTTTTGCCTTTTGTTTGAAGAATATGACTTTGTCAAAATGATTCATACAAAGGGTTCACAGCAGATCCTAAGCATCTGATCCCTTTTCTAGAATTTCAGGGGCTCCAGTTTTTACTTGTTCAATGATTTGTATTGTTTGTAGATTTTTTGAAGCTCGATCATTATTAAGCCATTATTTACATACTGAATTGTGAACGGATTTTTCCATTATTTTCCGATCATGACAGGCGCACACGCCGATGTGACTGTTCGGAAGAGGATGCTCTCTTAATGGCACCTGATCCCAATACTGATGTTTAAGGGGTTCGTGTTTTCTCTGCTCCTGATTTGTATTGTTTGAATGGGCCCCCAGCTTAATAATGTTCATCATCTCTATATACTACATAGAATAATGAGAACCTTGATATTCGATTATAAGACTAGACTTGTATTTCCTACAGAGAAGAAACGTTCTACATGTAACTTAACAATGTTCAAACGTTTCTCCTCTGTAGTAATTACAAGTCTATGTATATTCCCGCCGCCCAGGGAGAATAACGAAAATCTTCCTTTAAACGTGAAAAAATTAAGGACTTTATGATAGATTTGAAGCCATTATCCCTTTCGGTGTTGATGCTCCAGATATGCTATCGATAGACTAAATTCTCATTTGCTCTCCCATAAGAGGGTACATTTAATAAGAAAGTTCGTTAAATAATAAAACATGTTTGAAAATTTCAAAGTAATGTTTAATTTACAAGATCAATTTTCCTGTCTGAATTTCAATTCATAGCAATATATTTCTAGCAGGAAATTAAAGAAAGTTTTCCATATGAAAATATATGCAAAACATGCTAGTATATTTAAAACAGCCAAAATGTCATGCTGAACCACACAGCAAAACAGAGTTAAATTCCTTTCTCGACTTGAACAGATTATGTATATGTTTATATTTATGTATTTTCTGTCTATAATTTTTATAAGTTAACAATC